AGCCGCGTTGCTATCTACCGTGTCTGTCGGCTTGCTCGTTTACATGCTCACTCGCTGCTTGTGCCTGATCTCTCGCTCGGAATCCCCAAAATTTTTTGCCTCTGGCTGAGAACAAGCGGGGCCTTATTTGGGGAGTTTCCAACGGCTCCGTCTGCTCTTTTCGTCAAGGTAAGTCAACTAGTACATACACTCCTGTTTTTCAATCTCGCTACCTACGAACGTTTCGACGGCTTATCGCAAATCTGTCTCTGAATCAACTCCCAAATCTGTGAGTTTTTTTTTCCGCAAGGACAAAATACAGGCGGAGCGCAAAAAAGACACTCCGCTCTCAGAGGGTATTTCTACAATTTTTGCCGTGCCGAGCTCAATGACGGAGTAATTTGACTAAATGGATAGTTCCTTTCGACCACTGACCTCAACCTTTACATCAACAGAATCTTTAGGGCTAACTAGCCTAATGGACCTTTGATATCTCCCACTCATGGCGACACCATAACATTGTGGGAAATTTTTGCGATGACCCCCCCCCCTCCTCTGAAAAAAATTTACTCTTCTGATACGAGCCCTTCCCATTCACATTTTACCTACCACTTTATCCCCAGATCGTCGTGTGGGGTGGGGAGGAAGAAGGGGACCTGTATGAGGAAGCATTTCTGAGGACAAAACACGACCCCTCTTTCACCACCGGCAACAGTTGGTGAGTCCTGCTTCCAGTACTAGAACAACAATCTCCAGAAAACGGCACGGAATTTACTTCAATTCCCGACAGTTTAGTAGCTGTTTCGAGCTGGAAATGATACTGCGGTCTTTCTTTAGCTCTTCAGCAGCGACTGGTGTCACCTTTCCATGACGGTAGAGATAGTGAACGCGAGCTTTCCACCTCGAAGAAGAACATCTCAGCAGTACTCTATCTTGGATTTCAATGCGCCTTGTCACCATGTATGACGTAAACTTCGACGATCGCCTACGTTTTTTTACTTCCTCCCTCCCAGTAAGCTTCTTAGAGGAGGTGGGGAAAGAAGAATGTCAACAACGGACCAATCAAGTGACGAAGCTACTTATCATGTATGGGCTTCCGCTATTGGTCAAATCCGGTGTCAGTAGAGTTGCTACCACACCTTCACATTTCTACATTTACGTATCATTTGTGATTCAGCCAAAAGAACGACAACAATGTGCCAGATATCGGAAACCGGAAACCGGCACCGTAGCACGCGCTAAGGTGGTGAACCTAGCAAGGAAACATCGTCAATGGAACACGATAGCCTTGACAATATTTGAGGATGAAAATTCAGTATGAATGCAGTAACTGGGGCGCTAGGGCCCAAGTGACCTCGCCTCGTTGCTAGCTGTCGTATCTGTCATCCTAAATGCTGCTCTCTTCCTGCTCTTGTCTGTACTCTCGTCCGAAATCCCCATCGGATATTGCTTGGCACCCCTAGGCCTTTTTCGCAGCGTTTTCGCTACTTCCTCTGCTCTCTTCATTGAAATGCAAGTCAACTGATACTTACAAATCAAATTAATCGAGAATGTTCAAGACAGGTCAATTCTGGGGATCACCGATAACTGTTCATAAAAACGATGACTTCGTAATGAGGAAAAGGCCTTTCGCCTCAGTGAGGATGATTCACAATGAGGTCATTTTTCAGCTCAGTGACTAGCCTACGTACTATGAAACCTGGAAATTCCACCGAAGCGTAACTGGTATAGTCAAAGGCGTCCTGCCTACCACCTGCGCGGTCCGGGAGTCAGATCCCAGACCGGCTCCATTCCAGGTCAACCAAGACTTTTGCAATGCGAAGACCGCTAATTGGTACCAGATTTATCTGGGAAGATAAAAACACTTACTACGAGGTTCGTTTGCTCCTGCAAATCATTGTGAAGGCCACATAGTACTCAAAAGTCACAACGATACTGAACAGAAGTAGTTAGCGCTGCTTATCCCAAAAAGGAATCATCAACAGCGAAAGCTTCACTCTCTTCCTCGTAAACCCCAGCATTCGTCACAGGGTTCATGAGGTCAGCCTCGGGCCGAATCTAGTCAAACTTCTATCACTTTGGGATAGGGAAATTCCCAGCAGGTCTGTCTGGGAGGCAGAAAAATTTAAGTGAGACAAACAAGCGCTATACTTTGCTGGTGGATTCACGTCGCATTCTGCCACCCTTCTGCCTTGTACTAGAGCGTTTAGTGCGTGGCGCCCTCCAGTAGTGTTGACCAGCACCGAGTTCTTTGCTCCTTCCACAACCAGGCCATGCAAGCGTGTCGGGCTACACTACATGGCGTAAGTTTCATTGACACAATCAATACTGGACTCTTTTAGCGCCGATCGTAACTGATAAGAGCTGTCTGTGTGATAAGTACTGGTTTGAAATAATGGATCCGGTGTTTAAAGGACGCAAAAAGGAGACTACCGTACGACTACAGACAGACCAGATTACGACTTTTCGCGAACAAAGACTTTCACCTATTTCATTTACGAGAGTGTCTTAATGGTGTCCTAAGAAAAAACTAGTCGAGAGAAAGAGAGAATTCAAAGGTTCTGTACTATCTTCGGGACAAAATCAGGACTACACTCTGGGCTAATTCGAACAAACATTCAGCAAGTACTTCTCAAGGTCTTTTCATCATGAGTATTGAGTATGGTTGTGTATTGTGGAATATCTGGATTTAAAGGCATATGGCATGATAATCTGATACTTGGTCCAAAATGCTAGCAGGATGCTATGGATGGAAAATGTGGAAAAATGGCGAAAAAAACGGGTGGAACGGTCAAAAGGCC